AAGAGTGATGAAGTGGGAAGGCAGAAAAACAAAGAGAAAGATGACAGGTCAGAAAGAGAGAGTAAGTCACATGCATGGAGGAGAAATAGAGAGTAAGAAAAGGGGGGCAGAGGGGAGAAATAGTGTGAGAGAGGTAGGGGGTGAGGTAGAAAGAGTGATGAAGTGGGAAGGCAGAAAAACAAAGAGAAAGATGACAGGTCAGAAAGAGAGAGTAAGTCACATGCATGGAGGAGAAATAGAGAGTAAGAAAAGGGGGGCAGAGGGGAGAAATAGTGTGAGAGAGGTAGGGGGTGAGGAGAGGAAGCAAAGGTGTGACGAATGAGATAACCATCCTGCAAGTTTCTTGCAGGTCTCCACTTGTAAGTTTCTATTGCTCACTAAAGGATGCTAATGGTTTATAGTGTGTTTCAGAATAGATTTAGCCTCAAAACTAACACTGGAGTACAGACAACCATCCAATTTACCAATGATTCCTGAAGTGCCATGGTAAGGAACGGGAAAAACATTCTTGAAAGGTCCCCTAAGTATGTTACAGTTACATTTTATTTACATTAATTTTAGAATCGTTAAAGGTATATCTTTTGCAAGTCAGTTTTGTAATTAATCCACATGGATTATCAGAGAAACAGTGACATGTAATTAAAACTATTCATAATTAAACCATTGATTTAATGACCATTGTCAGTGACATGGGTCTTACTAAAACATATGTGTCGATAAAAAAAAAAGTAGAAAAGGTCACCTCCTATTCTACTAGGCGGTGAAGGAAGCATGAAGCATGTATATGGAATGCACGCAACAGAATCAGTGTTGATTCAAGTGCAGGCTGTGGCTGTTGGCATGGTGTAACCCATCTTGGTCTTCTTTTTCTCCTGATTACATCCTGGGTCTACAGGAAACTACAGGAATTAAGGACTACTGTAATATCCAGTTGTTAAACCTGACCTTGTGCAACTTGTAAATTTAACCCAGGTTTAGAAAGTGAGTTGCTATTCTATGCATTGCACAAACTGAGAAATAATGATTAAGAATATCTTTTATTAGACTAAATAGTGGAGATGTAATTATAAACCAGTTTTTAAATTTATGTACATTTCTTAAGACTCAAAAGTAAAGCAAGAAGAGTGTTTTAAGTGGGGGTGCTGAATATTGACATTTGCCTCTTAAATGGTATCAGCAAAGGAGAAAAAACAGATACTTGGAAGCCATCTAATTCAAAGATGAAAGAGGTAAGACCTACACGCTATGCAGTGAGTTGTCTAAAATCCTCCTAAATCAATGAGGCAAGATAAAAGCCCAGTTTCCAGCTTTCATGGGTTCTTCCATAATAGGGGTAGTGCTTAGGTTTGCCAACCTCCAGGTGGTTGGCTGGAGATCTCCTGGGGTTACAACTGATCTCCAAGTAATGGATATCAATTCACCTGGAGAAAATGGCTGCTCTGGAAGGTGGACTCTGTCATTATAACACATTGAAGTCCCCCCTCCCCAAGCCCCACCCTCCAAATCTCCAGGTATTTTCCAACCCAGACCTGGCAATCCTACTAGTGCTGAAAAAATGCAATGCCTAGCTAAAGATGTTGGTAGACATGGCCAGACAACACTGGGGGAAGGTGAGCCCTTGATGCACAGCCAGCACCTCAGAGGCTTGTCTCTGTCATGGCTAGCAGCTGTGTGAACCCAGGAAGTGATGATGGGCATAAGCCACACCTGTCAACACCTCCCTGCTGCCCATGCCACAGGGGCTTGTTTCAGTTGCTTTAGCAGAGAACCAGTGCTCTATGCAAAGCAAATGGTCTGGCATGCTGCTTCTCAGCACATGCACCAGGGGCTGCCTCTCTCTTTTCTATACAGTACTTTAAGGACTCTCTAATACTTGAACATAAGGATCTTTATACGTATAAAATACAAATACTCTAGAAGTGATCCACAGAGACAAAGGTTAGGATTTTGAGGCTGTGCCTCAAAAGGTGTGGGCTCTTTGGATGATACTCCCCCCAAAAAAATCTGGGGGTAGATCTTTGGCTTGCCTGTCTCCTCCCCACCTTCAACCCAGGACACACATACAGAAGTGAAGTGTGAAAATTATTACCAAATAGCTCCAAGTGGGATCTGCACAACTTTATTGTTTCCCTGATATATGTTGCTTTACACTTACCAGGAATAATTCAGCTCAGAATTTCTATTCTGAAAGTGTAAATACTCTCAGCTAGGCTCTACGTATTTATGCATTTCTCCAGCTTGACTTTTCTGCATCTTTGTTGTGTAAACGTAGTCAATTCTTATATTATCTATTTACAGAGAGGAGTTACTTGTACATTTACATATGCATAAAACTGTCATGTGCATAATAATCTTACAGACACTTGTATTTGTGCATTCAAGTCAGTTCTGGGATAAACTGGGTCTTAAATCTGCATATTATGATTGCACGTGTATACCTTGCCGTTTTTTATACAAAACCTTATATCTGGGGGGGGACACATGTAAATCAGGTCTAAATCATCCTAATAACCCATGCTAACCTGACATGTTAAAGTACGCTAGGAAACCATTTGTTTGTTTGCATTTCTGTCAAATAGCCATGAGAAAAGAGTTCTTCTCTCCCTATTCTGTGGTTCCCAGACATAACAAATTGAGATGAGAAACTGAATGACTTTGCTAGTGCAAATGTAAGTTTCCATGGAGTGTATTTCATTGCTTGTCCTGTGTTTGCACAGCTTGCAATTTGTGCTTCAAATTGAGCTAAGGCACACTACAAGATTGTGTCTTCAGGATAAAAGGTTATCTCCAGCTCAGCGATCCTTTCAGTTCCAGGATATTTGGAGATATTACCATTGCATGATAGTAGTCAATTTACAGAACAAACAATTTTGTGTTCATTGCTTAGTTTTCCTCTTTTCCTCTCTCATAGTCTCAGTCTCTTAAACAAATTTACAAATATGGATGCAGGAAGTTTAGCATAACTGTTTACTTTAGAAAACAAACAAAACTATTCTTGTGCTCTGAGCTAAATATGTACAAATAATTGTATGCCCAGATATGTATTTATTTGCATTAACAAGTGATTTGGCATGATTTTGAATGAGAAACTTGCAGTCAATGGCCTTAAAAGGATTATACATTTAGCAAAGGAACAGTTCACATGCCTCTTTCTAAGGAAACCAAACCAATGGAGTTATGTTATTTTGAGGATAATTATGATCCTTTACACCTTTTATGAATTTTATACTCTGGAAAGGTTAATTTCTCAGCTATGAGCAGGTTAAGAAAAAAAATTAATTATAGTGTTAATTACCTTCTCTGTGCAAGTGGAGCATTGTCAGATGCTTTGACAGTGAGGGCATAAGAACGTCCTACGGACAACACAACTCCAGACGCAATGGTGATGAGGCCCGTTTGTTCATTGATTATGAAGTCGCCCTGATCCCCAGCCAGAATTTCATATCTGATTTGCCCATTTGGCCCTTCATCTGCATCCATGGCAGTGAGCTGCAATTGAAAATCAAAAGACAAACTTTTCAAGCTAGGATGGTTGTCAGAGCAAATGCCCAGGTTATAACACTACTAAAGTAAAGGCTCTTTGTGGGTGCTTTGAAGTCAGTCATGATTGAGGCAAAACAAAACCAAAGTCCAGTGGCAGCTTAAAGACTAACAACATTTCCTTATGCATCTTGACTCTAACTAGCCCTTTCTGACAACTAACCCTCCCACCTATATCTGAAGAAGTTGCATGCACATGGAAGCTAACACCCAGCATTAAACTTTGTTGGTCTTTTTTAAAAAGATTTATTTATAAAATAAATAAATAATAATATTTATTGCATTAGCAAAAAAGCCATAGCAACAGTACAGGATAAAATAAAATAAATTAAAAAAACAACAACACACACTTAAAACGTTGACAGTTATCAGCAGTAAACTAATTAAACTCAGGGAGATTTGTTTTCTTAATCACCGCAGCTAGAAAGGAAGCCACTATAGCCGTGGTTTGATTGTCAGGGAAGTTATCAGACAATAGCACTGAAACTACCCAAGGAAGGAGGGGAAGCTTTTCTTTTCTCATGACGGGAATGATGTATCTCT